AGAGAGAGAGAGAGAGAGAGAGAGAGAGAGAGAGAGAGAGAGAGAGAGAGAGAGAGAGAGAGAGAGAGAGACGATAACTCTCCGACCTCGCGGCTCGCGCCATGCTACTTCCATTGATAGGATGAGAAACATCCAATGAATCGGAGCGCTGTATCTTCCCGGCCTTGCGCTGCGGCTTCGGATCCGCCACAGGAGCGCTTCCCGGCCTTGCGCTGCGGATTCGGATCCGCCACAGGCCGCCACAGGGGGGAAAAAAAAGCATGCACAGAAAAAAAAAAAAGGGAGCGTTGTATCTTCCCGGCCTTGCGCTGCGGATTCGGATCCGCCACAGGCCGCCACAGGAAAAAGAAAGCAGGCGCTGTATCTTCCCGGCCTTGCCATGCGGATTTTGATCCGCACCGGTTCGCAAAAAAATTGATAGCGGCCTCGCACCGGTTGGGAAAAACTCAAGTGCGGGAGCGGTCCCACGTGGCGGCGCCCGGTTTCTGTTGGGTCCGTCACGCGAGACCCGCTTCTTGCTTTATAGTATTAGAGAAAAGAAAAAAAGAAAGAAAGATACACCTGCCATATGTTTGGCGACTTTGGTCTTTTTCATGTTCCGTGAGCAGTGCGGCAACACCCTTGTGGAGGTCAGTTTGCTTTGTCTTTGTAGTTGATCCCTTAGGTTCTTCCAGTTAATGTATCTCAGTGGTTAGAGCACCGGTTGGAAATGCGCATTGTGGTATGAGGTTGTGGGTTCAAAACTCCGCAGCCTTGCACATGGACACCGGCATGGCGTTAGAATGACGCACGGCTGGACACACACTCCCCTGGGCTGATGCAATGTCCTATTACAGACACTGCCTGCGCACCACCCGGGGGTCAGTCCATGGATGTTGTATGCTGGCCTAGAGACTTCACGTTGGTTGCTAGTTGCTGTTGGCTTTGGTTGCTCTGATGATCTCCCCCAGCCCAGACATTACACACATTATATCCACTTCCATGTGGTAGAACCCTCCAGTTTCAGATTGTAGGTCACAGGTTCGAGTCCGGTGCCGGACTTTGGGGGGAGTCTTGTCAAGATAGGCCTGTCTCTCCCACATACACCCACACACAGAGATACCACCCCAGATAGCACAATCACGATACATAGTCTATCACATACCATACACAGTCTATCACATACCATACCCACATACTATACACACACATCAACATACACATGTACTAGTGGAGGTGATAAGAGCACCTCTCACCAGTACACCTTGCAGATGCTCCATGGTGGGGAGCAGCGTCTGCTTTGAAATCGGGTCCGCATACACATTCACACATACACAACCATAGGGCTGGGAGGAGGCCACGATCAACTGATAATGATGATAGGCGTTTGATGACAAGCACCCCCCTCTTTCTGAGCCCTAGGGTTCCTTGAACTTCCTTCCTTTTTCTTTTTTTTCCCCGAAACACCCGCAAAGTTTGCTAGGGATGATGATAAAGGGTCCTAGGGTTTCTTTATGAAAGCAATTTCAATTTTACCTTGTATGCTGGGATTTCCTTTTTCCGCTTTCGGCGTTTGCAGCAATCATCGTTTACTACAATGTCTGTCATATAGTATAGTCGAACACCCTGTAGCACCTTATCTGCAAAGGTGTGTACTCAAAGCCACCCCCAAACCACTCCCCCTCCACCCTGCTCTTCGCCCCCCCCCTCAACACGCACACACACACACAACATACACACTCCTGATAAGTCAGTGAAAGTTTGATGAAACAATCTGATACAGTCATGCTTTCTTTGTGGAGTTGCATATACCGAACATGACGACACACACACAATAAAGTCGACCACTTTTCTCAGGGGTATGGCTAGCTCTGGGCGATGTGGTGAGTGCTTATCCATCAGTCAAATGCATCCTGGGCAGACTGTCAGGGTTCAACCTCCTGATGAGTCGGTGAAAGTTCGACGAACCAGTCTGATACAGTCATGCTTTTTTTGAGTGTATAGCGAATATGACAACACACACACACACACACACACACACACACACACACACAGAGAGCGCGC